GGCTAAAAGCTGGGAGGAGGGGTGAGTTAAGACTTGACCTTTGAGTTAGATTTGGCTATTGTTCATACAACTAACTTCTTGTTACTTTTGTAAAGTCTTGGTTGAAGCAAACAAAAGTTACATCTTTCCAGTATTACACTTCTGAAAGCTTCCATCCTTATGAGCACACACAAAAAACACACCTAACATCCTCCAAATTCTGGCCTAAAGCCTCAACAGAAAACAGTTCAGTCGATTGACCTCATGTTGTGAATATTTATTCTCTCTAACTTTGATGGACAGTGAAAAAAGCACGACTTCTTTGTCAATACGTTATGTGAAATATGTTTATCATACATGTAAGTTGTACAAACACAAGCCAATGTGTTGCACAAGATTACTTCAGAATCAATAAAACATAAAAGTTAGATTTGTTTTAATGTCTGCTCAGCAGTTAATGCCTCATAGACTCTGCTCCTGTGGTCAAAAACAGTCTGCTTTTTTTCTAACTAAGCTTGTGTCTGCCACAATGTGGTATAATCCAATGCCTTTCCTTGTTGTTATAGTAGCCTGCAAGTTTGTTCCCTTTGAACAATAATTGGAATATATAGCAACAGTGCGCTGAGCGTAAACCACACTGCTTCTGGGAATAAAGAAAAGAGTCATTGGTTGTGTTAGGAGATGTAATATGTTTAAAGACTCTTATTTTGAGGTGGGGTGGCGGCAGAGAGTGCAGGTGCCCTCATCCTTTAAGTCCTACCACATATAACTGAATTAATCATGACTGATTTTTARAGCAGATTGTCTCTAATGAGCACATTTAAATAAAAACTGAGATTTTTAAACAAGAAAACTTMATTTTCACATTRAAAYGTTGAAGTTATTTTATCAGGCGCAGCTGTACAGATGTGCCATTGTCCATTTGAAACTGGGGATCTAAATCTGGGATTTACAATAATAAAGTAATTAACAATAACTGATCAAAGTGTCTCTGATACATTTTATTCCTTCACTAGTTTTACACTAAAGGAACATTACAGTTGCTACCAAAAAGCTTCTGAGGTTTAATAGCCATCGCTAAGTATCAGCTGCCATCGCCTTTCTTTGCCCTGAAACATGTGTAGCTCAACACACACACACACACACACACACACACACACACACACCTTCACAGAGATTGACCTCGACAAGACGGGCTGTTTTCAGGGCAGCTGGGTGATGGGTCACAGGAGTTTGGTTTCTGAGATAATTTCCTGCCACTGATAGACATCTGCTAAGT